TTTGTTTCTCAGTCATCTGAAAATTAGATGGCTATTACCCAGATCATGTTCTACATTCTCATGACTAAAAAGATATCTTTCTTGTTAGTGAAGTTACTTTCCTCTACACTTTGGAACTTCTAGACTTTGTCCTCTTTCTCTTTGATCTGGACATTTTTGTCTCTTTAATTAGAGATTCTATTATAATAACACACTTCATCAGTAGGGGATCAAATCTCAAGCCATACTTCCACTAGAAAAGCCCTATGTTATAGGCTTTTGCTTGTATAAAACATACTCATTATCTACTGTCAAGGTTAAAATTCTCTATTAAATTTCTGTTTTTTTATCTTCTTGTTTTACCTGTGACATAAGCACATATGGAACTTTGCATTTCAGGTTAAAATTAGATACTTATTGTGAATAGGATATTTTTTGATGGGATAAAAACTTGCACGTATTGACAGTGTGAAATTTCTCAAATTGAGCTATATACATTTAAAATGTAGACCGACTTTTCAAAATGGAAAAAAATCACAATATAACTTATTTACATATAAAGGTAAACCAAAAAGACTTCCCTAATCTTCTTTTAAATAATAACTGCATATTCAGTATGATCTTAGATAACCAAATATGCTGAGTTATTGATATAAAAGCCCAGATAAAGAATGAAGAGAAATATAGTTGCCTGTTGGTATCTGTTTGAGAACTGGTTTCAGAATCTGCATAAGGATACCAAAATCAAAGAATGCTCAAATCCCTTAATATAGAATGCCAGAACATTTGCATATTACCTATGTATATCCTCCAATATACTTTAAATCATCTCTAGATTATTTACAATACATAATACAGTATAAATGCCATGTAGAAAGTTGTTATAATGTATCATCTAATGAATAAGGACAAGAAAAAAGTCTCTATATATTCAGTACAGGAACAATTTTTTCCAAATATTTCCAATCACAGTTGGTTGAATCAAATGCATGGAAAAGCCATAGATACGGAGGTTCAGACTATACTCCAAAATGTTAACGGTAGTTATTTTAGAATGGTGTCATTACGAATGACTTGCATTTCTTTATACTTTTTGAGTGTTTGTAACTTTCTTTTTCAATAAATTAAAATTACTGTGGACAGTCTGTGCCCATGTGTAGATTTATTTTCCATTTTTTATTGTGGTAAAATACACATAACATGAAATTTTCCATTTCAATTATTTTTTGAGGCAGGGTCTCACTATGTAACCCCAGGATGGCCTTGAATTCACAGTCCTTCTGCCTTTACCTCTTGAGTGCTGGGATTACAGGCATGTACTACCATATGCCCCCATTTGAATAATTTTTAAATAACAATTATTTTTAATAATTTAACTTAGTAACAATAATACATGACACTCATTTATTTCATACCGTGCACCATTTGCGGGGGCATGGGACTAGGGTTTGAACTCTAGGCTTCATGCTATCATCAACCATTTTAAGCTCTCCATGTGCATTACTTCCTTTAATTGTCACAAATCACTGGAGGAATCCTGTTTTACTCGTTTTACTATTGAAAGACTGAGGCACAAACAGGTTAAGTAAGTGTCCAGGTCCACAGGAGTAATGGAATAATTTTAAAGCATATAATTCAGTGACATTAAATACATCTGCAGTACTATGCAACCACAACTACTATCTAATTTTAGAACTTCTTCATCACTGCAAATGGAAACCTTGTACCCATTAAGCAATGACTTCCCATTCACCCCTCCCTCAAACCCCGGCAAACACTAATCTGCTTTCTTGATCACCCCTCCCCCAAACCCTGGCAAACACTAATCTGCTTTCTTTCTCTATGGATTTGCCCATTCTGGGCATATAAACAGAATCATATAGTATGTGGCCTTTTGTGTCTGGTTTCTTTCACTTAACATAATGATTTCAAGGTTTATTATGCTGTAATGTGGATTAGCACTTCATTTCTTTTCATGGCTAAATAATATTCAGTTGTATAGATATACCGTATTTATCCATTTATCTACTGATAAACACTTGGGTTTCTACCTTCAGGTTGCTGTGAATGCTTTAAACATTTATTTGTAAGCTTTTGTTTCAACACCTCTTTTCAATTCATTTGGGCATATATCTAGGAATGAAACTGTATCAGTATATATAATTAAACTATCGGTATATGGTTTTTTTTTTTTAAGATCTCTAATTCTACTTTGGCACTCTGTGCTTAAAGTAGCAATGCGTTTTCAGAATTATCAAAGACAACCCTTAGAATGTAATTCACACAGTAATACGTTCTATTTTTAATCACAATGGTACATTTAAGACCAATTCATATTCTTGCAGTTAAAAATAGTTTTTTAATAGTAATAATGGGACTTGAATGCAACAGGAGCAAAGTGGGGAAGATAAAGAAGGAAAAGGGAAATGGAGAGAATACTGGAGGGTGAAGAAGATACATACATGTGTATGTGTGAAGATAGTATAATGAAACCCACCAAATATTGTTTTTTTAAGGGGGGAGGAGGGAAGGGAGTTCAGGAAATATAATAGAGGGGGATGAATTAGCTCAAAGTACACTGTATATATCTACGAAACTTTCACATGAAATCCCTTTGTGCTATTAATGAATTCTAAATAAAAATATGCAGATGCATACAAAATATAATTTTCACCCTTACTCTTTGAGAATGAATTTCTCCTAAATTTCAAGTTTCTTACTTGAAACAATGATGAACTAGCTAGAAGGGATAGTCTTTCCCTTCTAGCTACCTAATGCACTTTCAAATGCTTATATATTAAAAGTATAAAAACTTTGCTTCAACAAGACAGCATTACTTAATAAAAACAAATATTTAAGCTCCAAACAGCATATTAAATACACAAGACCAAGCAGAAGCAGTATAGAACCTTTTAGAAATTCTGCTGCCAGACAGTGACCAAAAAGGTTACACCTTTAAGACTGCATAGTACTAATTCTTATCTGTACTTCCCACCTGCCTAACAGAAAACTGATAAATCGCATGAATATAAATTTTGCTGTAGATAGTGCTTGAAGTAGACTAAAGAAGATGGCTATATACTATGTGCTTATTCATACCTATTTAATAGCTGTTACATTCTCCCTTTTTCCTTCCCCTGAAATACATGCATAAATAAAATTCATATAATATGCACTCATGAAAGTGGCACACAAATGTATGAGCATGTACCCAAACTGTACTTTCAACTCAGAGGTTGCAAGTAAGAGTAGAAGTGTTTTTGTAGCTTGGCTACTCTTTAGATATCAGGCTTTACCCCCCTGTTATAACTTCCCCCCACAACCATTACACATTGTACCCTGTAATTGAGAAAGCAGGAATAAAATTCTAGCTAGAGAAAAGGAAACAACAGCTTTAAAACAGTAAAAGAACTATCTAAACTATAATGTATGTCAATAAATAGGGGACATGATTTGGGACCACTTAAAAATAAACTACTAAGGAATATTTCCATAATATTGTGAAATTCTCTTTAGGAAAACCAAGGGCCAGGTGTGGTGATTCAAGTTTATAACCCCAGCACTTGGGAAGCTGAGGCAAAAAGGATCATGAGTCCGAAGGCAGTCTGGGCTACTACATAGTAAGACCCTGTCTGGAAGGAAGGGAGGGATGAAAAGAGGGCATAGGGGAGGGTGAAAGGAAAGAAGGCCAAATAGGAACTACAAAACATAAAAAACAATGTGGGAAATTTTAATCCTACAAAAGGTTTTACACATACTAACTTTGCTAGGAATCAACATAATCAAATTATTTTATTTCTTCCTTTACAAAAGTTCTAAGATACTTTCATATTCTGATAATGCTCCCAAAAAACCCTACTATAAAACCCAGAAGGAACTCTTTCATCTTATTCTATGCAGAAAAGCTTTTACATAGTTCTGACAACAACAGTAATTTATATCAGATTTTATTGAGCTGACTGTCAAGAATTTTACAATATCTTATTCTGTAAACAGAAAAAGTGAATCAGAGTGGGGTAAATTGTCTGAAGTCTCACAATGAACCAGGGGAAAGCCAGAAATAAAATTCAACTCCAATTAACTGTGATGATGGTGATCTGTCCACAAAGCAGAGTATCTCAGTAAAACGAAAACATGTTATATCATAATGACATAGTAATGTCATTTATGAATGGTATGTGAAAAAAGAAAATCTATTTACCACTGAATTCCTATTGTTTCATTCTCATAGAACTTATTTTTTCATACTCTATATATAACATTTTCTCTCTGCTAAAGGACTCTTAAGATTCAACATGATGGGGACCAATCACTGTGCTTGTATGCATGTACCATCTATAAAAGGCATTCAGTTCTATGGGCGTGTGTATGTATAAAATTTCACAGACCTACACTCAATCACCAAAGCAAATCTTGGTGAGAACCCTTGAATTTCATTAACAAGCCAACCCAACATAATAAAAAAAAAACAATAAAAATATGATCAATATAAGTTTCTCTGACAATTAGAAAGCAAAAATACTCGAGATACAACTTTAGTATTATTTGTGTATTTAAGTGCATAAATTAAAGTAGCCAAGAATGAATTTGCATTGTTTAATTCTAGTTAATCAATACTGTATCATTATCATGAGATGATTTCCGCAAGTGTTACACTATCCTAAATAACTCTTCTTGTTTCTGAGATATATCATCTGACCACCTAATCACTTAGTGGCAATTATACCAGAGTGTGCTGGAATGGAAATACAAAGAGAAATAAATTCTAGTCAGTCCTGCTTACTACTTATTGACAGCTTTTATGAGGTGCTCTGGTGAGGTAGTAGGATAAAAATGAAGACCAAATTCTGTTTGGAGATTATAACAACACAAGGTACTTTACTGTTTAAAAAATTATTTTACTCATATCTCATTATTCAATGATGATGCTTATCTGTGAGAATGGGCAGAAACAGTTATTTTTTTTGACCCTCATGTTTAATATCCACTCAGTTTTCTTCAGTAATTTTCAATAATCTTACCTCCCAGTCCAAATAATCACAGACATCTTCAAAGTTAGTGAGTAGAGACACTGAACAGAAAAGCCGTGGCAGCTCATCCCTTGTCATTGGGGGAAAACGGCTGTCTTTAAGGGCACTGTTGAAAACAAAGCAAATATTAAAGAATTACCAGGTATGAAGTCCCTAACTTTAAATACAGTCATTTGAGAAAGGTAACAGATTAAGAATAATCAATAAAGTATCAAAGGTGCCAATCATCTTCAACTATATTCAAAGGCCCCAAAGATTTTAGAAGTTATCATTTGATTCTGTTTGCCAGCTAACCCTATTAACACTTTAATTATAAAAAGTGAATGATCAATTAAATTTCCTGCACAGCAATTTGATTCCTTCCATGTTAGTTGTAGAACTTGAGAATGCTTTATTTCACACTTGAGGAGAAAAAAAGCAGATCAGTAGAAACTTGTTAGAAGACCTATGGATCTAGTGGCAGAGAGACAAAAAATAACATCATACTGTAAAATAAAAAAAAAAAACCTTATACTGGGTTGGTCAGTTACCATAGAATAGCACTCAGAGTTCAAAAAAAAGGATCAAAATTTCATCTTATTCAAGCAAAAAGAATCAAAGGAAATGAAAATAATCAAGCAAATTATAGACTAAAGTACAAGGATTTCATGCCCCCTTTAAAGGACAGCTCAAGATATGACTCAAAAATTGTGAAACTACAGGAAATAGGGATAATTGGGGAAATAAAAGTATGATTAGGAGGCCATTAATCCCATCAATGGATTTCTGAGTACAGCAGCTGATTGGATCCTTTAATCAAGTGTAGTATATCACAGTGCTGAACTCTAGAAAGGCCCCACTGTAAAGGACAAAAATGTTGGAAAGCCATAATTCTTTCTGCAACAGAACAAATAAAAATCACACACACACACACACACACACGCACTGTGTGTTGTTTGTTCTTTTAGAAGAAACTACTTCCTGATCAAGAAAAATACACCTGATTGTGCATTATATATATTATATTGTGCTATATAGATATATTTGTATGTGTGGTACTGGGGAATTGAACCCAGCACCTTGTGCATGCTAGGCAAACACTTAAATCACTGAGCTACATTCCCAGCACTGTCCACTATATTAATAGTACTGCTGACATTCATGTCATCCATTTTCAAATGCAGCAGCTAGGCTTAGAAAGTGTTTTCACAGAATAAGCCTTAGAAGTTACAAACTTAGACCCTACAAATTGCTTTGTGTCATAACAAAGTTCCATGACCTTTGAAAATAATTTAATTCCTTTTTCAGTGATTTCTCATTGGTGAGTTTTCCTTCTCTTTTTTCATTTTCCATCCCTTCCTTTGCATTCTGAAACTCACCCACTGTGTTTGTATTTTCATTGCATTTTGGTTCTCATTCTATTCCACCATATAAAAGAAAATGCTTTTAGGAAGATATAGAGATGTAATGTAGTTAGAAATGATAAATGCTCCCACCATTCGAGAAGCCAAGATTAACCAAGAAAATCAGGAAATTATGATAACTTGTATTCTGAAAGCAGCATTTTACTCTTTTCTAATTTAACAACATAAATTTACTATGGTTTGGCTTCTTTTATTTTCATACCAGCCAATAAAGTTTTAAAAAAATACTTCTAGACTCTTGTTCAAAGCTAAGATAAAGACACATTTCCTTTTGTAGCCAATGACATTTCATTGTATGACTATACCGTATTTTATTTTCCATCCATAGATGGATGGACAATTGGGCTGTTCCTACTTTTTGGCTATTATGAATAATGCTGCTGTGAATATTTGGATATAACTTTTAGTAAAGACTTATGTTTTCATTTTTCTTGGATAGATACCCAGGAGTGGAATTACATGTCACATAATTCTATCTTTAACTTTTTGAGAAACCAACAAATAGTTTCCCACAATGGCTTCATGATTTTATATTCCCACCAGCAATGTATGACTCTTCCAATTTCTCTACATTCTCACCAATATTCGTTATTGTCTGCCTTTTCAATGATAGTGTTAGCCTTCCTTTAACAAAGATACTTTTTGCATCTAGCTCTGGCCTTTTCATTAAAACTATACATGTGGTAAAGTCACCATACAGTTAATTTGTAAATACTTTGAAGCAAGTCATTACTTTTTTTTACTTTACTTCCTAAACAAACCAATGAGAGGTTAATTTTAGCCCAGTACATTTAAACCCATTTCAAAGCAATAGAAAATTTAAGTACCCAAAATATAACAGGATCAGGTTGTCAAGTTTTTCTCATTATATGGAACCTTGTTGCTCAATCATTGTAGGCTTTGAAAACAAGAATACTTAAAACAATGAGTAAGGGAGAAAATGCCAATAGTTAATGGGAGAAAGTGACAATGTGCCTCACTATACCAAGATTCAAATATACTGACTCAAAGTCCTCAAATAATAAAAGGAACATTAGTCATGATAGAAATAATCTGACTTTACAGAAATATTCAAACAAATTGTTTTATTCTTGCATTTTGCACCCAACTCTAAAAAAACTTCATTACACTATGAGCAGAGAAAAATTCCCAAGGTAGGAAGCCCACTATGTCTCTAAATGCAAATTCCTAAGGGAGCCAAACTAGCAATGAAAACCTAGCAAGGATTTAAGGGATTATAAAAAGATGAAAACGCAGCTGGAGACGGACCTCTGAGCTGCCAGGCTGGTGTGGAAAGCTGATAAACAAGAAGATTAATCTTTCTTCAACCAAGCTCTTTTTAACATATAGAACATAGGCAATGTTAAAGCAGAGCCTTTGGAGAGGATACGACAGTTCAGAGTTGGACAGTGATTAGCTAGAAGTAACCTAGCTAAATTAATGACAGATGTAGGAATATAATCCAGATTTTCTGACTCAAGTCCAAAATTCTTTCTAGAATCCACACTTTAGTTTTCCACCTTTGAACGAATTATTTTTAAATTTTTTTCAATTAAATACTTTCCTTACTTAGCAATTCTGATCTCATACCTGCAGTCTCTGCCTACAGAGGATAATTCAATAGCATTCATTAGTAGCCAAAGGATAAATGAGCTAAACTTACTATCTACTGGAAATCTGCAGAAGTAAAAGGAATTTAAAAATATTAATATTGTCCATGGAAAGTATGTTGCATCAGAGTAATATCTGCCAATTTAAATTCTAGACAGTCTAAGGAACTAACAAGAGGATCTTATACTGAACTTATATGAAGTTCTCTGTGACAGAATGGGAAGCCATTTCCTAATGTTTAAATATTATTAGGGAAAACAAAACAAAACACTTATGTACAAAACCATCCGGCTGTTTCATTGCCAACATGATAGAATGATAGATGGGAAAAGTTTAAACAATAGTTTAGCTCAAACTGACACCTTCTCAAGTATACACTTCACCTAATTGAAAAGCAGCATTAAAATCTGTCAAAGTTAACATCTAATGTTAAATAGCTTTTTAATGAAAATGAACATTTTAAGAAAAGAAATGAAGAATTTAGCTATCAAAGAATAAAGGGGTCATGACAGTACCTGGAAACTATGCTAAAAAGAAAAAAGATAACTGTTGAAAAAAGGCAAAACCTAAAACCTAAGATATTACAAGGCTCATCATAAACAATGTAGCATGCAACAGAAATGATTTTAAATGAATCTATTTATATAGCCAGTAATTCATTCATTCATTTACTTTCTAAAATATTGATGACCTTAGTCAATTAACCAGTGGAAAGCTACCAAAGAAATTCTTACCCTCTAAAGTAGGGGAATTTGTTATGAATTTGATTTAGTGAAGCAGAAATAAAACTGGAAAATACAAGATATATAAACAGATGGCTAAATGTGGGCGTGGCAAATATGTCTCACTTTCTTCTATATAATGCTTTTTTTGTGGGTTTCTGGATTTACTCTATTGTGTTTTTAGAAATAAATTACTAGGACTTATTTTTGTTTTAATTATTTTTGATGAAAATCCTTTAAAATATATTCTGCCAGAGTAAGTTATCATAATCTAATTCTCTTTATGATTCAAGATCATCTTTACTGCTCAATATTTTTATTGCTTTTAGTCATTAATAATGTACATGATAAGGGCAGTGTTCTCATAGTGTTGGAAATTTTTTAAAAAGTACTCAAAATTTCCAGGAATCTCATCTTTGTGTTGTCTAAGTTAGGATACTGCAAAACTCAATGAACTACTTTTTTTTCTTTTGATTTCTTTGAGTCAAGGTCTCACTAAATAGCCCAGGCTGGCCTCAGACTCATGATCCTTCTGTCTCAATCTTCCAAGTTCTGCCATTTCAGGTGTGTGCCATCATGCCTAACTCTGAATGAAGTATTTCTTAAATTGAATTGGAATTGGATACCTCATCTATAGCCCTGAATAAGTATTATAAGTATTATTTCCTCATGGCTATCAAAATCATGCCTCAGGGGCTGGGAGTATAGCTCAGTGGCAGAGCACTTGCTTAAAATGCACGCCCTGGGTCTGATCTCCAGTGTCCACCAAAGCATATCTTAAAAGTATAATGATATTTCTTTGTGACTTACTGCCAATAAATATAGCATGTAAAATGCAACACTGAAGTTAGCATTAACACATAGACACCATTTCACACTTCTATAGGACCTAGCACAATAGAATGGACAAGAGCTTGCGTTCTGGAGTCAGGTATACTTGCATATGGATTTTGGCTCCACTGAATACTAGCAAGTCTCTTAGTCTGGTCAACCTCATCTATAAAATGGAGATAATAACAGCACCTACTTCATACAGTGACAATAAAAAAATAAAAAATAAAAAAGTACCTTGCATACACTAGAGGCTTAATAAGTAGTGACTGTCAAAGAACTTTGATCACCAATACATTTGATGAGTTTGTACTCACAGTATGGCCCCCATATCATGGCTCTGGTGAAATGAAGGGAACCATAAGACTAAGACTGGCCCCTCAGCATTGCTATGAATAGAACTAAACAAGTTATTTTCTCTAGGAATTAAATGTAGCCATCTCAGGGGATAACTGTTGCCTTTCCAGGTTCTGATATTTTTCAGTAGACTTTGTTTCATTTTCTTTTATTGTCAAAATATTTATCAAGCACCTGCTCTA